CCCACTCCTGCACGCAGAAGCGACGCCAGTGGACAGACTGCGCTTCCGCACGCAAAAGGGAATCACTTCTGCTTGCGTCTCTTTGCGCGTTGCTCCACCTCCAGCAAGTCAGCAGGGGAGATCTTGAGCGCCTGGACGATCTTCGGGACGAGTTCTCTGCGGTCCTCGTCGCGCATTTCGAACGTATCGGCGTCTTGGATGGCCTGGACGGCAACCATAGCGTCAACTACGAGAAACTCGCGGTCGCTCGCTAGCTGATGCCAGCAGCGGACTTCTTGACGCAGGGCCTCAGCTTCCCCCGGCAGCGCAAAGTCTACGTCGTAGTGATGGTGCTTCAACCGCAACGAACGCATATGTTTGATGAGGTCGAGGATAGTCAGCTCGCGAGAAGGAAGCTGTGGAGGAGAGTCGCGCAATCCGTTCAGCCATGGGCGCGGCGACGGCGGCGGCGACGACATGGTGAGGCAAGGCCAAGCCGCGGATACAGCCGGCGCGTCCAGGAGATCTCATCACCCCTATCCGGTCTCGTAACAAGCTACTATTAGAACACGGCACGGATTGATTTATGGCGTTACAAATGCGCTTCGCGCAGCAGAGACGGAGAATACATCAGCGATCAGCAAGAGCGAGCGTTCGATCGACGAGCAAAACATCGGTCAGACTGTGATTGTGTTGAACAGGAGAGGGTTGGGACCAGCGCGGCGGTTGTGTATGGCATAGAGATACCACACGTGCTGCGCCGCAACGCTCGGGAGTTGGAGGAAGGTCTGGACCTGCTCGCAAGCAGGTAGACAGTTGTATACGGTTTTCGCGTAGTTGTTCTTCGGGCACAGGTGCGACCAGTGGCGCGCGCACTCGCGCCTGTTCCCTGGTGCCACAAGGATACCGCGGTAGCCATGAGCGCAGCCTCCCGCGAAGATCCTGTTCTCCGACGGCACTCCTGCTTCACGAGGAATCAGAAACAGGCAAGACGGTAGTGGGAGCTGACGTACCAAGGTGCTCGTAGAGAGAATCCTCCTTCTTTGAGAGGATCTTGTTGATGTCGCGCGAATGCTGCGGCTCGTATTGCGACGGGCCGGTGGTGACATATGCGAGCGCTGCCTGGTACGCGTAGTAGACTTGGAGATCCCAGTCCATCTCCTCCGCCATCCACGTGCCCGTCTCGGGCGGGATTCTTTCCACACCGGGAAGCTGGATATCCGCATCCTGCAGAATATCGATCACGTCGACCTTCTCGTAGGTAACGGGTATGCTCTCCTCCGCTATCAGCTCTTGCACAGCCGGGTGCGTAAGTAGGTCGTCGGGGCAGACGACGCGGGTCAACGTCGAGAAATTCTTGAGGTTCAGCTTGAGCGACTTCTTGAGGTCGTGGCAATGGTGCCGCGAATTGCTGTTGGAGCCGAGCACGAGATGGTCGCATTGTTCGCAGCGGCCCATACGGGGGACGTCGTCGAAATTCCCTTGCCTCAGCGTCTCCAAGCCCTTGATCGTCATGAAGGCCGCGAGCAATTCTTCGACGATGCGCCGTACGGACTTGCGCTCTGACTTCTCCGCCTTTGTGTAGAGCGCGCCTTCGCGCAAGTCGAAGCGCGACTCTGGAAACAACCCCGCCTTTGCCTTGAGCTTCACAGAGTTGGCTCGGCGGATCTCGCGCGCGCGCTCGACGCCCTCGAGCGTCGTTCCCCCATAACCCATCACTGCGAGCGAAAGGTCGCGGCCTGGCCGACGCCCGGTCACCCAGCGACGGTACTTTTCGTCGTCGCCGACCATGTCACCGGGTATGAGCTTGAGCGAGTTGAGCGGTGCGGCACACAACGCCATCTCGCGCCCGTGTGCAAGGACCTCCTCCGCGAGTTGCAGACGTCCCTCATGCGACTTGGGTACCAGCCTTCCGGGAGTGCGAGGGGCGCGGGGACGAGTTTCGAGACCAGCATAGCTCCTCTGTTTACGCAGCGCTGCTAACGCCGGGATGAGTGTTCGCAGTGGCTTCTTTGCGTCGGCGAGCTTCTGTGCCAGACCAGAATCGCGGAGAATGCTGTCGGCGACGCCTTTATACCGAAGCATCCATGCCAACGCGTCCTGCGGCTTGGAGCGATCGAGAGGGTCCCCAGAAAGCAGAGCGCGACGAGCGACGGCGCACAGGACCTCGTGCACAGCTATACACAGAAAGTAGACCGGCCGCATGTAAGTCGCAAGCGTTGGGTCGTAGGCGTCGTGCCCCGTGTGCTCCATCACGACGACGAGAGCGTAGTCGCCGGCATCATAACCAACTCTCCGCACGAAAATCTCACCCATCGTGTCTAGGAAGGCCGTTCCCGTCATCTAAAGAGGCGTGAGCAGGATCATGCAGCATACTGTGTTGCAACTCACAAAGGACAACTTGGCACCAGGATTTCGGATCAAGCGATCTGTTGTGGCTGGGGATGTTCCGCCAAGGAAATTCTGGAGTGCCGCGTCCTCTGCCATGGTCCACACAAACGCGAAAAGCCCGTCCCAGACCGCCTTGGCCAAGCCGTTAGACGAAACAAGTAGTATGACAGGTTTCACCCGCGTGAGGAGCCGCGAAGTGAAGAGCAGTACGATCCAGAACCAGTAATGCCGCAGTATACATCGCCAGAAGTCCAGGAGCCCGCCAAAAGCCGTGCGAACGATTTCAGCAGGCACAGGTCCCGTCACTGGAACGCCAGGATGGAACGCCCGACGAAGTGACCGGTGGAGTCGAACGGCAGCTCCCTCGGTAGCACTGTGGGGTGAACCGACGCCCTCGCGATGATCCTCTTCTGGAATAGCCTTCAGCAGATGCATCGAGAGCGGATGCCCAGCCACGAATTCGACAGATGCTGCGTTGAGGTCTTGTTGCTTCTGCGCGTCTGGATGAATCTTGGTTGCCTGGGGAGAAAGAGAGGACATGCACTGGCGCTCGTCCGCGTGTAGCCTGGCCATGTCGCGAGCAAGGTCCCCAGCGAGTTCAGACCTCTTGTCAACGCCTGGAGAGGCGAGCGTAGTGAAGGGATGCTCTTGAACTAGAGCCATAGCACGAGAAGCGGTCTCGTGCAGATCCGGAGCAAACGTCGTGTCTACGCGAAATCCCCCTAGCGCACTGTTGAAGGCTGCGCCACGCGTTCCAGTGATCATGATACTCTCACACAACCCAATGAGAGAATCTACACGCTCGGCGTGCTCAGATGACCCAGTCAAGATGCCGTCGAACAGACGGATTTCGTAAATGCTGGCGTCCCGACTGGCGAGGGAGAGGAAATTGCGATAACGCGTCTTTCCGTGCTTTTGCTCGTCTTCGCGCTTTCTCTCCGCCGCCGTTCTAGCAGTGAACCCAATGTAGGGAAGGAGGATAGAGCCACCAGCATGACAGGGCGCTTGAGTCGCGAGCTCGTGAAGAAGACTTTCGAGATCGTCGTCGCACGCGGTCGGGAACGACTTGGCACTGAGGGCCTCACGTGCAAGCTGCGTGATGGCCTGGCAGTCAACACCGACCATTGCAAGTGCGAAAGTGGCCCATGCGAGATCCGCCGCGTACCGGCGGGCATACGTCTGCAGATCGTTGACGGCAGCATCGGGGTCGTCGTACTCGTGGACGCGTAGGTAAACTTGGTCTTGATCATCCTCGCCGACGCCGACAGCACGAAGAACATCCTGCTCGATCCAGAACTGCACGTCCAGCCCGTATGGATCTCGCAGCAGATCGAGTATGAACTCGCACGTCAGACAGTGGGCACGGGTCCAGAAAGCGGCGGGTACGGGCGCGAGGTTGTGAAGCTGTCGGACGCTATCCACATAGGAAGGGACCTGATCAGGTTGGAGAGGTAAAGGTATGCGAAGGGTTTTGAGTCGGCTGCAGGTGAGCGTCTTAAGGGCGTCAGCGATCGTTTCGGATGGAACGCTAGAAAGCTGCAGCTATTTACACAGGTTTGTTAGCACAGTCATATGGACCGAGCATTCGGCGCACCGTGCTTCCGGCCCGCTCAACGTCGTCGCTGTCGTACTGATCCTGTCAACATCAATACGATAGTTAGGGGCAGCTTCCGCAGAGTTTCGCATCGGCGCACTTCGTACGGGTCATGATCATGAGACTAGGGAGTTGAGCGAGTCAGTCAGTATGAGGGTCTTGAGACGAGCTGGATCCAACCTGGTCACCGTCAGTCTCAGCGGCGTTCTGCGACATAGTGAGTTTGACGTGACGACAACACTGGATCGTGTGACGGACGGTGTTAATGGTGTCGGCGGTCGCTTCGGGTGAAACCTTCGATGCGGCACGAGGACCCACGTCGTCAACGCCGGCGCCCTGCATCGCAATGTGTCGATGAGAATGCGAGCTGGAATGCGAAGTAGAGGTACTTACAGGATCAGCGTGAGTAGCCTCCCTGGGCTTTTTTGTCGTGCTTGAAGCAGCTGTCTGGAGAGGCTCGACGTCAAGACGAGGAGGTCGAGCGCCAGAAAGCACGGACGTACCAATGACGCCTTCCGCTTCTTCAAAGCGCGCGGTGGCATGGTCGACTGTGAGAGCGTTTAGAGAAAGCGGGAGACGAGCGAGGGAGGCAAGGGAGAAAGAGAGAGCCAGACGCCCCTTGGAGCGCTGCCCCCCTTCGTCATTTTGATCAAGTGAGAGAGCCTCTTGGGATGCATGACCGTCGTCGACATATCTGCTCGATGCGGAAGGAACTTCGCCGCATTTGGGGATTTACAGAAGCCCTGTCATTCTCTTCACAAAACAATGGCACAGCATATCCAGGCGCTGCGCCTCGTAACGGGCGAATAACGCCTCGGTGTTGTGAGAAGAGATCTCACTTGAATCGAGTTTGCCGTCGTAAGCCATATG